GCACTGTATTAAGTCAAAATTTTGTTGATCATTTTGCTAAGGAAATTTTTGAATGTCAACCTGATGTCACTGTATCTTTTGTTAGCTTTAAACATTCTAGCTTTTGTCTTTTTTTAAACTATGCTGTTTATATGGAAATTAAATTATACAATCAAACAGATGCCAAATGAATTGCCTAATTGCTGCAAAGGATAACCCAGATATCGAGTCACTGTATGGTTTTCAAATAGTAATTTGGTATTTTATCACTTACTATGTTTGGATGTGCTTTTATGAAAAAATTATTCTTATATCAAGATTTATAGTAGTGTCAATAGGGAAACAGACTTCTAATCACTATAGTTAATATTTCCAGTTTACCTGCAGATAATATTTGGAAAAGTATTGCTTTTTGTATTGACTTTTAAGCTTATGTGCAAACATAATAGCATAATTAAATATCAGAGAAGCTAATGTTTCTTGTAGGTTGCTGTAACAAGCCTGACCAGCAAGACAAATATATTTTGACTGAATTTGCTTTTGTATATACTAAATATATATACGTATATATATACACTCACACATGTGCGCATACAAAAACATACAGACACAAAATCCAAAAGTATGTTTGTTTACTTTTGTCTCCTTGTGTCAGACACAAGGTCCCTTGAGAAATGACTTTTATCTAGGGACAAATCCTGCCAGGTGCTGAGCACCAGCCAGATGGGGGCTTGCAAGTGCTTCTTGCGAGTGGGCCCTTACAAAGAATTTTCAGGCGAATCAGCATAGTACAGTAAAATTGCTTTTTTTGTTGAGCAAGGTTTATTTATTAAATGGAATGTGAGTGGGAGGTAGCAGGTCCAGAGCCCCATGTGAGATTTCACGTAGCCGGTGTCCTCCAGTCTTCCATAGATAGTCTTAACTGTGATACTCTCCCAAATCCCATCATCTGTGGAATTGTCCTTCATGTCAACTTCAATACACAGATTCATCCTAGAGTGCAACCAGTGACAGGTCACGAAGGTAAAAGAAAGAGTTAACGCAGACTAAATCTACTACTTTTCTTAGAGCTCTCTCAGTGTGAACATGCCTTTGTCTAGGCAGTATTCAGGAATATATCAGGTGTTAAGGGAGAGTGCCTTGTTTTTATTTCAGACAACAGTGTTTCAAGAGTTTCTTCACTTCGCTAAAGGCAGTACTTTTTTTCTTTATCTTTTTTCTTTTCTTTTTTTTTTTTTTTTTTTTTTTTAGAAATGCTCTTGTACATATACAATGTAAATTAAAATTATTAAATTGAATAACATTTTTTTCAGAGGCCCCATGTGTGTTGAATAAGTATGCTTAATTCTGTTAAAATCTGATGTGAATTTTTTATCATTTATAAAACATTAAAAAAATTGTCTACTTGAGTCTTAAAAGTGGAAAAATTGGTGAAGCATGCTTAAGAACACTGGCAATTTAATGACTAGTCTTTTGATTAAAAAAGCTTTTATATAAATACAATAAGACCTGCAGTATCTGGTTATGCAATCTCAATTAGATATTGAGAGCTGGGCCATGGCTGTCCCAGAGGTTGAACTACATACGGACTAGAGCAGAGAGACTACCTGTCCCTCACTGTACTTCTCCTCCATGCAATGAAGGGATTGTAATTAACTCACACATGATGATGGCCACAAGGGAGGGAGGGGATGACTATAGGGCTTGTGGGCTTGTGGCTATAGGGTTCATGGCCAGATAAGCACCTACGTCTGGCTAGAAAGAGAACAGAGTCCTGAGCTCCCCTTTGTGTCAGTAAATCGTGGTAAGACATTGCTCTAGCAGGCATCTGCAGCATTTTCTTTAAATGTGCATCCAATTCCTCTCCTTACTGTGCCTTTGCTTTGCAGGAGGGATCGCCAGACTAAACTGTTTGGCTACAAATGCGTTTTCAACAAATGCAGTTTTGAGAGGCATCTGCCACTATTCCGGGTAATGCCATAAGTACTGATGGCTCCGGCACACCTCCGTAGGAACTGTTCTTGTGCAGGAACTGCTGGGCTGGAGGTTATACCAAATGATATTCTGTGGCAGGCTGCAGGATCGTCAGCTCCTTCTTTGGAAATTTGACAAAACAAAAGGTTGCTCAAACTCTTCCAAATTATTTGTTGCTTTTTTCCTATGCCTTATTTTTAAACAAACTATGAATCTTAAAATTATTAATGATAATGGCAGTGACTTTTTTATAATAATCCCCTGTTAGGCAAAACACGCAGATCTCGTGACCAACTCATATCAGGGTCTTCACCCTGGAAGACAAAGCTTATCCTCACTAAGCTCACAAGTATCTCAAATTGTAATTACTTCAGGGGCTATATGTTGTGTCCTTAGATGCAAGAACAGAACTGTGTCCTGATCTAGCTCACCTGCACTTGTGTCCTTATGTGTGCTGTATGTGTCATCAGTGGTGTAGTCCTTGCAAAGGGATGTGATGCCCGATGATTTACTCTGGCAGTGGAAGGTGAGGCTAAATCAGGAATATAATAGCAGCTTCCTCTAGTAGAGACCTTTCTTGGACAGGAGGCTGGCACCAAGACACCCTAAAATGAACAACTTTAACTACAGGCAAGTCAAATATCTTTCTACATCTTTCCTACTTTTATTTTTCACATTCAGGTACATTTGTCCAATATACAAAGCTAAAATTCTAGTTAAGTTGCAGAGAGGAGGGTGAGAGAGAGGTTTAGTTGTATAAAATCGATCGTGGCTCTAACAAAAATTGGCATCTCCCTCTATGGACGCTATGAAACATGGCTTTTGATTAATTATTTGTATTATAGCAACACCTAGAGGCCAGAACAGAGATCAGGACCCCATTTTGCTATCTACCCTAACTAGTACCTCCAGTACTCACCCAGGAGAAGCTCCAGTCCAAACAGACAAAAGGAAAAGGAAGATGAGCAACACAGGAAAAAAGGAGTAGAGTGCCATGCCCAAGGGCATACAGCATTTCAGTCATAGAGTTGGGAATAAAACCTATCCTTTATTGAGCTAGTGTCCAGTAAATGCTCTTACTTTGTTTTCCTTTTCTTTCCCTGGGCAATTTATGCTGCCACTGTATCAAATTTTATGCAAACATGATAAAAGCATTGGAAAATTCAAAATAACCCATGTATTCAAACTGATCTTGTTTACCCTGTGTATATAAGTCATTCGTGAGACTATTCAAAATCCTGGTCAACCACATGTTTGGAACTAAGCTGTGATATAAACTAGGTATTATTTAGAAAAGAGATATTTAGCTGTTCTTTATTAAACTAATGAAACCGACCATTAGGAATATTGCAAGATATGGATTAAACAGTAATTACTAATGGATAAAAAAGATTAACTTTTAAAAATGCCAAACTATTGATGCAGTAATTGAAAAAATGGGTAGTCAAGTAATCAAATTCTTAGCAGCAGATGACATATTTGAGAACTGTACTCTAGACCTATGTTTCTGAGTTGTGATTTGTCAAATAAAAGGAAAGGAAACTTGTTTATCATATGGAAACACTTTTAGAAATTTTTATTTTTTAGCATTAGACACCTTTGGGTGAAGAAATTTTTCTTAATATCCAATGTAAATCTCTTCTGGTGCAACTTGAGGCTGTTTCCTCTCAGTCTATCTCTTGTTACTTGGGAAAAGAGGCTGACACCCCCCCTCACTACAACCTCCTCTCAGGTAGCTGCAGAGGGCGATGAGGTCTCCCCTCAGCCTCCTCTTCTCCAGACTAAACACCCCCAGTTCCCTCAGCCGCTCCCCGTACGACCTGTGCTCCAGACCCTGCACCAGCTCCGTTGCCCTTCTCTGGACACGCTCGAGTCATTCAATGTCCTTTTTGTAGTGAGGGGCCCAAAACTGAACACAGGAATCGAGGGGCGGCCTCACCAGTGCCGAGTCCAGGGGTCAGATCCCTTCCCTGTCCCTGCTGGCCATGCTATTGCTGACACAAGCCAGGATGCCATTGGCCTTCTTGGCCCCCTGGGCACACTGCTGGCTCCTGTTCAGCCGGCTGTCAATCAACACCCCCAGGTCCCTCTCTGACTGGCAGCTCTCCAGCCACTCCTCCCCAGGCCTGTAGCATTGCATGGGCGTGGTATGACCCAAGTGCAGGACCTGGCACTCAGCCTTGTTGAACCTCATACAATTGGCCTTGGCCCATTGCTCCAGCCTGTCCAGATCCCTCTGTAGAGCCTTCCTGTTCTCAAGCAGATCAACACCCCACCCCCACCCCCAACTTTGCGTCATCTGAAAACTGACTGAGGGTGCACTTGATCCTCTCATTCAGATCATTGATAAAGATGTTAAACAGGAGTGGCCCCAATACTGAGCCCTGGGGAACTACACTTGTGACCAGCCACCAACTGGATTTAACTCCATACACTGCAACTTTTGGGCCCAACCATCCAGAAAGTTTTTTACCCTGTGAAGAGTACATCCATTCAAGCCACGAGAAGCCAGTTTCTTCAGGAGAATGCAGTAGGAAATGGTGTCAAAGGCTTTACTAAAGTTCAGGTAAACAACATGCACAGCCTTTCCCTTCTCCACTAAGCAGGTTGCCTTGTCATAGGAGATCAGGTTTGTTAAGCAGGACCTGCCTTTCATAAACCCATGCTGACTGGGCCTTATCACCTGGTCATCCTGTACATGCGTGTGATGGCACTCAAGATGATCTGCTCTGCTTTAGATTGTTTATCAATTTTTCTTAAAAAGACAGAGAACTCTGGGCTTGTTTAGGTGGAATTCTATCTCAAATAAATAAATAAGTAAACAAGCTAACTGACATTTAAAGAAAGAAATGTGTGTAAATAGCTGAAATATCTCAAATAACCCAAAGTCTTTAGCCTGCTAAGTAATGTATTAAAAACTCCCTTCATAATAACTTCCACTGTGGTCTGTGATTAAGCATTACTGTAGAATGACAGTGAATTGCAGAGATGGCTTGATACTGGGGAAACTTTCAAATGTAGCAGACAGAAAACAGAAATTAACTTACCTTTCGTGGGGTCTTATTATTTATCTTGCTGTGTTTCCTAATTAATTGACGATATTGATGTTTACATAGGGATTTGCTCCTTTCCAACTTCCCTTGATCCTGTGAAGAAATCAGAACGCTGCATTTGTAGTATCACATTTATTGCCATGGCAACAGTCAGGGATTTCACAAACACTAATTAGTGTTGGCAACTTGGAATGCTTTCTGTACAGTCCCATATAATTTTCACTCTTTTATCCATTTCTCATTATACCTTACTTTAACGACTGACTTCTACAGCATGTACACAGGTTTCTTCCCCAAGTCCTCAGGATTCAGTTAATACCTTCTCTGATTTATAGCTACCTTTCTTACACCTCCACATGCACCCAGTTAAGAAGTAACTGCAGTGCCTACCTGCATTTGTGTTAAACTCCATTTCTTACACTTAAATGTAATCCAAGTTTCAGTACAACCAGCTGGTTTCTACGGCAGCATGTGCAAAACTAGTAAGGAAAGGTATGAAGGCTTAGCTGCATCTTCCCAGGCAAGCTACTTTTAAAAGTAGATGCTAAATCTTTCTCAAGGTGGAGTACAAGCCTTCTGTTCATGGAAGCTTTAGTTCTGTGAATGTCCAAAGATCATGTAAAATACTTTAATTCAAGCATATCAAGAACATTTATAGACATTTAATTTACTATATAATAATATGGAGAGATGGGTCTGTGTGAACCTCCTGAAGTTGAACAAGACCAAGTGCATGATCTTGCACCTGGGTCAGGGCAATCCCAAGCACAGATACAGGCTCAGAGACGAGTGGATTGAGAACAGTCCTGTGGAGAAGGACTTGGAGGTATTGGTGGATAGAAAACTGAGTACGAGCCAGCACTGTGTGCTCACAGATCAGAAAGCCAACTATGTCCTGGGCTGCATAAAGAGAAGTGTGGTCAGCAGGTCGAGGGAGGTGATTCTCCCCCTCTACTCCACTCTGGTGAGACTCTACCTGCAGTGCTGTGTCCAGCTCTGGGGCTCAAGTGTAAGAAAGACATGAACCTGCTCGTGTGGGTTCAGAGGAGGCCACGAAGATGATCAGGGGGCTGGAGCACCTCCCCTATGAGGATGGGCTGCGAGTGTTGGGGTTGTTCAGCCTGAAGAAGTGAAGGCTCCAGAGACCACATAGCAGCCTTCCAGTACTTAAAGGGGGCTACAGGGAAGGTGGGGAGGGACTCTTTATCAGGGAGTGTAGTGATAGCATGAGGGGTAACAGTTTTAAATTGAAAGAGAGTGGAATTAGATTAGATATAAGGAAGAAATTCTTTCCTGTGAGGGTGGTGAGGCACTGGCACAGGTTGCCCAGAGAAGTCCTGGCTGCCCCCTCCCTGGCAGTGTTCAAGGCCAGGTTGGACGGGGCTTTGAGCAACCTGGCCTGGTGGAAGGTGTCCCTGAAGGGGGGGTTAGGGGTTTGGATGAGAAGATCTTCAGAAGCCCCTTCCAACCCAAAGCATTCTATGATTCTCCGATTCTATACTAATTGTGTTTTATGGTTATCCATATCCACTTGAGTTAGTGCCCTCGTTTACTCAGAAGCTTTATCAAACCCCATGTTAGTAGTGAACTTTGAGCCTCTCTAAAAGCAAAATGTATTACTTTGTTAGGAAAGAAAGAAGACAAATTCATGATGGCATCACCAGCAAGAGGGGAGATTTTACTTCATCAGACATGCTCAAGGTAAGAAAGAGATGTGTCTACTGAACAAAGTAGAAGATTCCCATTCTGCTGCTCACTTGAGAACAAATCCCAGCTGGTTGTCAAATTGCCCTCCCAATAGCAAAGATACCCAATTAAAACCAAGTAGAGAAAAGATGTCAGTATTGCCCTAATTTGGAAAGGAAGACAATATATCAGACTGTTAGAGCATATTTATACTCTAAGCCACTGTAAATGACTTGAAAAGAAGGCAAAAATAGTGGAAGCACCTGAAGCATCTTCATTAGGTTATTGGTGGAATCATATAATTTGCTTCTAATTTAGAAAGGATTTTGCACATTATTAACAGAAAACTAGTATTTGAATAATAAATTTTGAGTCTGATCACCATCTTCTTTCCCTACATGTTGGGGAGGTAAAAAGTCTCTTAAATGATGGAAAAATGTCTCACAGAGTATGAAGGAATTGAAAATTCATCTTGACTGTAATTTACTGAATCTTTTTAGGATCTTATAATGGAAACTAGGGCAGAATTACTATACTTGATAAGGAGATCTTATTGAAATAAACAGTATAATGTGTTCAAAAAGCAAACAAAGGATTTAGACATTCAAGTTAAATGTAAGCCATTAGAAGAAGCCCTGTATTCCAACAGATGCTGAGACAAGCTAACACAAACAGCTAAAGAAAGCCTTTACTGAAAAAAAAAAGTTGCCTCAAAAGTGTACATTTTGCCTCCCTTTTTTTGAGGAAAAACTGAACTGTGCCAGCTTGCCCAGATTTTGATGACACCTCCCACTGCAGTTCACTGCAAGGACCAGTTCTTAAACTCAGCCCTAATGCTTTTGAGAAATTTGAACCCAGAGCCCTCCAGCTTTGGGACTTTATTTTAATGACTTAACTTTGTTCCCCCTACCCTTAATTTCAAAGGCATAATCAAACTCATGGCAGGGCTCTTCGTAGGCTTTGTGAACTGGGCCACAGTCAAGAATTTCCACACTGAGTAATTTTATTACATGAAGTTTCCCGCCTGCTGTACAGAGCTGTGCAATATTCAGCACTGACATCTGCTTTTCATCTGATTTCTAAAGGAAAGCCTGGTGGATTGCTGCCCCTTTGAAATTAAGGAGTCCGGGAACAAATTTAAATCATGAAAATAAAATGCCAAAGCCGGAGGGCTCTGGGTTCAAATTTTACAGAAGTACCAATGATCTGTCTTAAACTGATCTCTTGAGGGAAGTGCAGTGGAAAGTATTTCCATCGACGGGGCAAGCTGACACAGTTCAGTCTTTTGGAAAAAGAATCTGGATCCATTGCACATTCAGACATAGAATTACATCCACTTTAGAAATGATAGCTTTCAAAAGTCAAAGACTTTTCAAGGTAAGTTATCAAGGATGGCTGAACCTGACGAACTAAAAAAAATAGATGTCATGAACTTAACTGAATCTTCACATTCTCTTAAAAAACATAAGATTTTTGTTAGAATGATTGGTTTACTCCATGCCTCCAAAGCAGCCTCTCTTCCCATGAGATGGAGTTGTTAATGCAACATGAAAAGGCTGCAGAATAGTGCTGCTGGCCTCTCAGGGGCAGAAACAATCACAGAAATCTAATAAATATAGTGGGAAATGCTATTTGGTGTTAGCATTTTCCACTTTTCCATAATATGTTACTCTTACAGCTCAAGTAAAACATGAAACCTGTTTCAGTCTGGGCTGCCATGCCATTTAGGCCGCAGCTTCGCAGACATAAGGCAGGAATTCTGCCGTCAGCAGTCATGCCATGCCTGCCTGCCTCTTCCCTCTGTAGTGCCATCCCTTCCTTGGTCCAGTGGCAGGGATTGTGTGGATGGGAGGAGAAACAGAACAAGAAACTCACCTGGTTTAAGAATAATCTGGTTTTCCCAGGTGGAGTCTTGTCTCTGCTCCTGCAAGACCCCACTTGGAGTACTGCATCCAGCTCTGGGGTCCCTGGTATAAGAAAGACATGGAACTGTTAGAGCAGGTCCAGAGAAGGGCCATGAAGATGATCAGGGGGCTGGAGCATCTCTCCTGTGAAGAAAGCCTGAGAGAGTTTGGGTTGTTCTGCCTGGAGAAGAGAAGGCTCTGGAGAGCTTTTTCTATTGTGGCCTTCCAGTATATAAAGGGGGCTTAGAAAAAAGACAAAGACTTTTTACTAAGGCCTGTAGTGACAGGACAAGGGGAAATGGTTTTCATCTGAAAGACTGTAGGTTTAGACAGGATATATGTTACGATGAGGATGGTGAGACACTGGAACAGGTTGCCCAGAGACATTGTGGGTGCCCCATTATTGGAAGTGTTAAAGGCCAGGTTGGACGGGGCTTTGAGCAACCTCATCTAGAGGAAGATGTCCCTGCCCACAGCAGAGTTGTTTAGACTAGAGGATCTTTAAAGGTTCCTTCCAACCCAAACCATGCTGTGATTCTGTGATTCCTGCCTTATCCTTCCCAGTCTGCAATGCTATTAATATGCACTTATTTTTTGCTGTCAGGATACTTTGGCCTATTTTTTAGATCTGCTGCATACCTGTAACACCAGGTAGAATCAAGAAGAGCCATGGGTACTCTTTTGAAACTTATTGTCATACACTATTTGAAAAGGAGTAGCCTGCAGAACTCCCAGTTGAATTAAGGGGCCTACGGTGCCAAGTCCTCTTCACATACATAATTGGAAACACCCCCAGACATATCCTGCTCCAAAGATGTTTACAATTAATGAAGCAAGACAGAGAGGAAAAAAAGTATTATATTTGCTGTATGGATAGAACTTTTATGGACAGAGGTATTTAGAAATTTGCTCTCTCACATGGGAACTTTGGAAAAGTTAAGAAGTTAATCCAGATTTCACTTTAGTAGTCTATTGCTTTGAAAAATAAATCCTTCCTTTCTTATGCCGTGAGTCATCACACTTTTCCAAAACGGTGCTTTCAGACTAACAATTGTCAAATTGCTTGGGGAGACTCTAACCTGACATATTTAGTACGTTGTTCCCGCAGCCCTCACAGAAACCCACAGATGTCAGCTTCAATTAGACTCATCCAGGACTGCAAAACCCATCAGGTTTGTAGGGCTAGGATGCATGTTGAGATGGTCTAAAAAGTAAATCCTCCAAAAATTACTGTGTGTTCTGCACTTGGAGAGACACGAGAGACTGCAAAGGGCAGCATTTCTAACAAGCTGCCCGAAAATAACACCCTAGCTATTAATCCAATATTGGTTTTAAACCTATAAATTTCTAGGCCATAGAATCTCTTTTGGAAGCGGACTACTGCTTTGAATCTCAAACTGCAGCCCTCACCTGCTGTGAAGAGCTGTCACCATCCAGTCAGTGGCGTCCAAACCAGTCTTGCAAACCTGCATGGCCTAACATATAAAGCAAAGGATGTTACTGTAACTGTCTATAGTGATTACAATCAGAGTAGGTGGTAAAAAAAAAGCAAATATCATATAAAAGATTTTATTTTCAATACTCACTATTAGAAGAATGATTCATATGACTGGACCATTTAAAAAAACATAATCCAGTAAGGATAGAAGAGGGTGGAAAAAAAAAATGTTTAAACCGATACATTGTTCGAAAGCTGCAGACAGTTCACAATCACAGAAGGTTTTCATTTTATGGATTAAGACTACATAAGGACTCATGTGATAGTTTCAAGTGAGGGTCCACCTAGCCCAGCATCCTGGCAGTGGCCAGGACAAACTAGAAATGAGCTGTACAAGCTGACCTTACCTTTGGGATCACAGGAGTCTAAAAGTGTGCTTACCAGGCATCTCATCAAGTACTGGTCTCCAAAACTTTTTGATTGTGCACCCCTATGAGTAAAATATTTTTGAGCATGCACCCCCAATATATGCATATGTATTTATTTATAAACTATATACCTGTACTAATGAAGTTCTATATTTTTTTCCTGCTCATCAGTGGACTGTCTTGAAGAGTCCCTGGGATACATACATCTGACTTTGGAGATCACAATTACAAAGGCTGTTCCATCAGTTTAGTAGCATTTCTAAAAACAATAAATAATATTTTTTAAGCACAGGGCATCTTGCAGCCAATGCAGACACATTAGTTGCTGGACCTCATTCAGATGGTAAAGACCTGCTGTATTTGGCTAACAGCAATCGTGACCCTCTCACATTTACTTCATGCACACTGAATGTGATACCATTTAGAAACAGAAAGGGACAATTTGTCCAAGATGAAAAAAACCTGTTGCTTTAACAAGCTAGGAACATCAATTTAATGTGGGAAATATTAATAGGAACTGGAAATTGTTCAAGAACATTCTACTGGGTATGTAAAAAATAAAAAAAAAAAAAAAAAAAAAAAAAAAAAAAAAAAAAAAAAGTGCCACAAATTTGCAAGTAGAAAAGAATTCATGCTGGGGAAGAAAGAATTTGTGAAATACAGAAGATGCAGAAACGCTAGTCAAACATTAGCAATAAAAATATAAAGAATGCAAAAAAGGATAATAGCAGTAAACTGCAAATTTTAAAAAATGTACTCTGCTGAAAACAGATATATAAGAAAAGATCAATGGGCAACATATTTAGAAAGAACATATGAAAAACCCTTTAGAGTAAAAAATTTCTGCACCAAATATTGGTCCATTTCTAGAAACAGGTATTACAATTTTGAACAAAGGCTCAGAAAAGACAGATGTGTTCATCACTATTTTTCTTCTGACTTCAGAAGGAAGCAGGAGGATAAATCTGCCCAATAAAATGTTGTAGATGGAACAGAAAACCTGGCATCCAGAATGAAGAAAAATATGATGCAGAGTCAGCTGCAACTGCACACGTACAAATCAAGCAGCCTAGAGGGAAACAAGCAGCAAAGAAAATGGGAAAAAAATCAAAAGATCTTTGAATTGCCAGTGTATGCCACATATTAAAGAAGAGCAAAGAGATGATCCAGGAAAATAAAGATCTGTTAGTCAGATGCTGAACCTGAACACAGAATGAGAAGTTTCATTTAGAAGCCCACCAACGAAGAATTGAACACTTAAGGTGCAATTAATAATAATCATCATTATGATTTCATGGAATGCGGGTCTTGTAAAACAAGCCTTCTTTAATCTTCTTCAGTTTTCTTCTTGTTCACAGCTATTGCTCTGTTTCGCAAAGATAACTGTGGTCATACAGTATATTCACAGGCCTGTGTCTTTAAATCATTTGACTATGGATTTTGAACATCACATTATATGGAACTAAAAGGATATAACTTGGGAATTGGATCCTATCAGTCTATTAGTGAATGATTTTGTCATTGCTACAGTTTGCACTGATTAAATTTGCACAGGATACAAAAACAAGTGGGATGGTAAGCATAGAGAACAAGCAATTTGCAGAGTGTGATCTGAATTCCCTGATTAAAAAAGCATATTAAAAAATTGTATGGAGATGTGAGGACATGTATTGAGGAGTAAGAAATACAATCTCACGATACTGAAAACTCACTTCACAGAAAGGAATCAGAGAAGTATATATGGCTCATCATAAATTAAGCTGAAACTAGATTTTCCCAATGATGGCAGGGGATGCAAGCCTTGGTAGCACCTAATGACTTGGTCCTGGTTGTCTGAATGCTCCGGTGTGTCTGAAGTTGTAGGGCTCAGTTTAGGGATGAGCTTTCATGATCTTTATGCACAAGGTCAGCCTGAGTTGCCTAACAGGTTTTCTTCTGGCTCTGAATGAGAGCAAGCTATATTTTTCTGACAACTTTGTAGATCAACCTGCAAATACAAGTCTGATCTAGGAAGGGCACTCCTGAGCTCCTAAATGAGTCGATGATAAGACAAAATTTAGAACATGATAAATGGTGCAGAAATATAGTTTATGAAATTGTATTCAAAATCTGAATGTGTCTTCCTTGCCAACTTCTTGCTCCTTTTTATTCCTTATCTCTGATTTTTATTGGCATAAACGTGTTAAGAATATCTGTTTTCAGCTGAATTCTCAAATACAAACATGACTATTCATGCATAATTAAGACTATGTTCTGTTCACTAATCATTTGTAATCATGCTCTAATTCAGTATCCAAACTCCAATAATTAATCATGAAGCAGAAAAACCACAATGCAATTGAAGTGACCAATTATATGTCACAAGCAGCAAATAGTAAAAGTTAACAACTCACAGGCATAGACAATCTTTTCCTTCTAAATCTTCAGGTGAGGACTTTGAAAATCAGTCTGTCAGGAGGAACCAAGATCAGTTCATGAACGATTTGTGACCAACAACAACAAAAGCTAAAATTATCTTATAATCCATTTACAATGAACGATTCATAGAGTCCAAGTAACATCCATGCTTATACTGCATTGCTGACCCAACCAGTTACTCTACTTTCAGGCACCAGAAGAGGTTATCTCTTCACACACCATCTTGACAAAGGTTCCATGCAAACAAGCAAGACCCAATTCTGGTGCAAGCTGCTGTCTCCATTAGTTTTGACAGAGCTATGCCAGTTTCACCAGCTCAAAATCTAGAGCTGAGAAAGAATGTCAGTAGACACACTAATAATAAAATATCACGGATTGTTCTTTTTCTGAAGGACATATGTATATTAACTTTTAATAGGTTTAATAGGCTTTATGTACAGCTTTTATATCAGTTATGCAGCTTATTGTACATATTTACATTCTTATTTCTGCAACATTTCCCACTTGCTGCTCTAAGTTTTCTTTCCTTCTGTCCCCATAATTTCCACACACGTGTATCTTCAGCAACTTCTGTGTCATGCTACTTTGCCTTTCCAGCAGTTCCCTATCTAGTTGAGCAGGCACCTTTTCTCTTTATTTCACTGCCAGTGGCCTGTATCAGTTAGTACACATACACATTTCTGTCTCTTATGATAGTCTGAACCCGATGGCAGGACATGCTTCCCTTCACATCTGACACCTGCATCTCATACACATGTAACTCTTAACTTGTTGATGTTTCTATTCTATCTTGTATCTGCATGTGGGCAATCAGTCTAGTCTTCCTCTCTTTTGGGACTGGTGGAGATCCGTGGATCAGATATAGCTTCTGTGAGGACCAGTACTGCTGAGCTTCAGAAGCACGTGGTAAAGATTGCATTAACTACGCTCCATTCTGAGCCCATGAAGACCCAGCTGTCCAGTCTCCATGTAAGCTTTGCTATTTTTAGTTTTGTGCCTCCTACATTTTACCCCTTGCAGATTTTTTAACATTTTATTTCATTTCCTTAGTGAAAACATATGGCAAACAGATGCCTAAGCAGGGCCCCAGGCACCCATCTCTTTTTCCAGATTTTTCAGGATATCTGGGAAAATTCTGAGGTTTATCCTGATACGTATCACACTAGCAATTTCTATCAAGTGCTACCTTTTCAGTGACAGGCATCCTAAACACTGTCAATTGTGGAGGTCTGTAATTTTAAAATCAAGTTTCTGTCTCTAATTTTGTTTTGGTTTTTCATAGGCAACCTTGAAAACATAAATAAACTAACCGCTAGGTTTCAAAAATGGAGGCAACTGCATATCAGTCAGAGGAAACAAGGATGATTTAAAGATCTTTCTTCTTCTCACACACCTCTCTCAAAATTTAAAATAAATCAGTTGAGATTCAACTACAAACATCAGTTTACTAGTCTTGCCCTAAACCTTAAGTAATGCATTCCACACAACGGTGTAACCATGGCTCTGTCTGAGATAAAAGGGAAAAGATCTGAAAATGCTAAATCTAGCTCTGCTTAAAAATTGCTAGTCCCCTCTGAGACTGGGATTTAGCTGTTTTGCATAGATTATGAGAGTGCTGATCTTGGGCAGAAGCCTCCCACTTGCTGTGACCAAGACAACTATTCCATGGGAGAGAGCATCTTCTGAATGGGAAAGTCTTCAGTAGAGCTGTCGGTCTCTGTCACATACCTTTTTCCCAGGTACAAGCTTTTTTTTATACTATAATCTTTCTCTCCCCTTTTCCATGCCTCACCTCTGTTGCACTATCCTAGGACAATGCATTTCAAATTAGTATTTCAATATGTTTAAAATATTTCTGAATTTTAAAAGTGTATGTATATTCTGGAGAAAGTTTATTTTTGTAAAGGACTATATGTGGATATCAGCATTCTTTATAAAGGCTGCTTTGTAATTGATTGCTCACCGGGGACCTGAAAGCCAAGAAATAGCATATCTGCTTTCCCTCTCTTCTGTTCCCTTCCCAGGATTCACTCATTCCACAAACATGAAATATTGAGAACAGAATTTAAGATGCAATCATGTTGAGAAGAGAGTACTGAGAGCCAAACACAGGCAAGGTGGCAGATTTACCCTCACATGTGTCCCAAGAATGACGATACCCAAGGTGAGTCAAGATTTGCTCCAGATATCCAACATCAAGGATGTAGATTTATTCACAAAATACAAATGTTTCATTTAGAAGCTATTTAAATGAACAACCTCTTGAATTTATTGTCATACTTTTTCTTTCTCATTAAAAATGTTGCTGCTTTTTTTTTTTTTTTTTCCAAAAAGGATGCAAATGCTGCAATGCACCATCTTCTGTATCGATATGCAGCAATCAATTAATTGTAAGTCAGATGATTTTACCATTTATAAGACATGCAGTGGAAGCTTATACCATAGGCTGAATGAAGTTGCTCTGAAAGGCATAGCACATGGTCAAGAAAAACTATCAGCTCTGAGGCCACAGGGCTCCTTCAGAAGTGATTTACAAGTATCTTGTTCCATATTTTATATGACATTATCTGGCAAAAAAAGAAATGTAAAGCAACTAAATCAATGCCAAACTGATTTTGGTATGTGACTTCCAAGGGATGTTTCTTTTTCTTCCAGATGACTTGTATCAACACAAAATGTTCCTTATAAATGAAGGATCCCTTTTTGTTGTCTGTAGGGAGGAAGGGCTAAAGAAAATGACACACTAGCCATCATAGGTAATTCCCAAGGGATACTTAGCTTTTCTTCCCCACATAGATCAACACATAATGTTCCTTACAGATAAAGAAGCCATTTTTGCCATCTTTACCAAGGAACAGCTAAAGAATACAGAAAATCTTATTGTACCATGTCACGAATATGACTGCTGGAAAGAAGGAAAGCTCTGCAGTCCTTCCAGAAGATGACTTTTTAGTATCTACAGAGTGTCTTCTTCTCCAAACCCCAGCTGGTTAGCTGCCACTTGGGTAGAGTTGCTGGTTAGCTGTGCAACACAGGCAGCAGCTGCCTGTGGTGACAGTGATGGTCCTGATGGAGCTGGCTGTCTCCAGCTGAGACCTCCCAGGCACGCTGGCCGGCAGGACTGCCAGACGCTCTCAGACCAGCCATCCTTTTGCACGGAAATGGACAGAAGACTCTCGCTTCACCCTCTTCTCTGTAACTTCAGACGTCTCTGCAGGTCTCCTTACGTTTTGTGCCGCAGACTCTCTGACGTAGGCTGCTGAACTATTTCTGCAGTACTCCCTTGATAATGTGCTTCTTAATTTGCCTCAGTATTCCGAGTCATCATTTTACTATTAATTACCAAATGTGTGAGAGCACAAGCATTTGGTAGCTTGTCCTTCGTAGCCACATGGGGCAGCTGCAGACCAAAGGTGTCAGACTCCACTCAGTGCGGCAGAAATCATGTGTCGCTCTGCTAGTGAGCACCCACCCTGCCCGTCGTCCTTTCAGCCTGTGCCAGCTTCTGTTTCAGCTCTGCCTACAGCACCACAGGGATCACAGAGAAATGTGACTGGAAAATAATATGATTTCTGGTTTAATTGGATGAAACACTTGTACGGGTTTCTAAAATGTACAGACTCTTTTTTTCCCTCCCATAATAACAGTTTTCAAAGAAAACTGATTGCCATCACATGCATTAAAGATGGCATGTAACAGTGACTTTATCAAATGTACTGGAATATTAACAGATACGTTATGTGCATAAATGTAACATGTTTCACCTTCTCTATCTAATCCAGGAGCTTCTTATTTTCCATCCACCCACTCAGGCACACAGTTATTCATTAGATACAAAAATGAACTGCACACCTTAAATATATTCAGATTATTGTAAAACTGCCTCCACCTTGCTACCAGAACTGCCAAGGTAAAAATATCCGTCTCTTTCTCAAAAGATAGATGGTGATAATATAGAAATGTTTCTACTTCCAAAGCGCCTATACTAATACAAGGAGTCAATTCTATTTAAAAATAAATTCACACTTGAACAGTTGCTGTACTCGATACATGTATTTCACACACACACACAAAATTGTTTAAAAAGTTATGTAGCTCTAGTCGAGCATTTAGAAGTTAGAGAATAAAAGAGCAAGAAGAATCTTCTGTGCCTGAAGAAACTCTTTTTTCCCTCCCTTCCTGTGTAAGTATAGTCCATAATTACATGAAAATGTGCCTTTTTACCTCAGGAATCCATCTTGTTTAATCTGAACACCTTTTTCTCTTCTGAGCTACCTGTGCCATGAACACCTTTAACATTATTTAATATCCCTTCTGGCACAGTTTTCCAGGCAAATCAAGCTTATGTTATGCTATGATTCTGTCCCTGAGAACTTTTGAAACCTTTTGAACTGCAACCAAATACAACAGAAAAGTAGAGGTTTTAAAGAAGAAAATCTTAGCCAAGTTGCAGCACAAGTGGGGAAAGGTAAAAGCCTTATCAATGCTTCCACCAAAGTAAATGCTGAAGGTGGACCCTGCTCTGCTGCTATCATTCGGGTGGCTCAGCCCCGAGATCCTGCTCCTCAGGAAACCTGCTTTCATCCATTCTGCTGCACCAAGGCTGCTTGCATCCCTGCTGCAGTCCGCACCTGACTGCAATTTTCTGAGCATCTGCTTTTTAAAAAAAATTTCGACCCCAAAAATGCTCTGGGTGTTGTACCTTATATTTTGGGATGACGGGGATTACACTGTAATGCCTGCATCCATTTTTACATAGCTGAAATCTGCTTTTGCTCTTTGCTTCTTTTCCTTGGTATTCCCATTGCCCTCAGCCTCTTGCTTTTGTCTGGCTGATCATGTTTTGGCTCTGTAGTTCTCCCACGCCTTACACACTCAGTTTGCCATTAAAACTCCCTCTCTAAGCTGAACATTTGGGTTGTGCTTGCAGCCCAGAAATTTGTGGTAAAAATTCTACACATAAGGCATGTCAGGGCAATTTCAGTATTAGGTGATAAAATTCCCCTCTTTCTATGCACACAAGTCACCCT